AAGATGGACTCTGACAAAAAAAACTTTCTGGCATGACACAGTGAACCAACTTTTCTTGCAGTAGATGCAGCTGTTGATTCAATGTGGTCATCCAAGTCAGTTGAATACATGAGGCTAAGAAAGTGCAGTGTATTGTTCTCCAGGAGTATAGTATCAACCATGCTGATTATTTAAACTATTTACATTGTTTAGACTACTGTCCTCATCTTTGTTGTTGTTGTATACCTTCTTGAAATTTTGAACTGAACCTTTTATTTTGTCTATATTGATTGTTCTAGTTCCACATGTCATGCTTCTTCCAGTCTTCTCAGTTATCTCCCTTTAACTCAACTCTCCAAGTTTTTGTTCATCACTGCAGTAGCCAGGTATTGAACTCATAGCTCTTTGGGTCAAGTCACTGGTTCCAACTTAATGTCTAAGTAACCATTTTTACGAGAGCTCATATTGCAATTTTGTTGTTATTATTACTGGTTCCCGTATTGCATTCATTTCTATGCTTGGCTAGGTTAGGAGATTTTTGTGGCCTAGCATATGTGCCGAGTTTTCATATTTTCCAGTGATGTTCCCTGTATATTATTTCAACATCATCCCACCGGGAAATGGGTGGTGGTGATCTCCATTTCCCTCCATATGTGGTCAACAATGCCTGCTTTTTCTATATCCCTTCATGTTACGACTTTATGATGTTCTTGCAATCTTAACATAAGGGGGCCTGTTTCTCCTTTATATTTCTTCCCACAGCTGTATGGGGTGACGTACACACAGTCCTTAGTCATGTTCTTCTTTATGTTATCCTCTTTTACTCTTTGAACCCAGTTTGTCAGAGCTGCTGTCATGTAGCCAGGGTAGTTGTTACATTGCAGGTTACTGCTTATACAGACCATTTCTTGTACATATGTCTCTGGGTCACCACATGACTTTTGCCGAAGCATTGTGAATATGGCAACAAAGATGAGGACAGCAGTCTGAACAATGTAAATAGTATAAATAATTACAATATCACATCTCAGAAATATAGACAGCCATGCTCATGGTGGACAGGAAAGTTTCTCTATGGTGAGTAACTGAGAGCAGTTTTGTTTTGGAGGCATTAAAATTTACAAGCCATTTTCTGCCCCAGTTAACCACTGATTGGAGGTCCTTTTCAAGAACAGCAGCCAGGTTAACTTTGTCAGCTCTGACAGATTTGCTATTGAGACAAGAGTAAATTGTAGTGTCATCTACATAAATACCTACTTGGGAACTGATGACATCAGGAACATCATTGATAAAGATCAGAAACAGCATAGGGCTCAGTAGGCTGAAGTGGTTAAGCATATCACAAACAATATGTCTTTCATTTTGCCAGGTCTACTACTGATGTGCTAAGGGCCATTACTGAATACATAAATCATGCTCTTGATAAGAATGACAAAGCTTGAGTTGTGGCTCTAGATATCTCAAAGGCATTTGACAGGGTTTGGCATGCTGGTCTTCTATATAAGCTCCAGGGCTACAGTATTACAGGATGATTATTTGATTTAATCCAATTCTTCCTATCAAATCATGAAATGAAGGTCATTTTGAATGGGCTCTCTCCCAGATGCTTTCATATAAATGCGGGTGTCACTTCAGCATTGATTAAAGTCTCAAATACTTTGCCAAAAAGTGGCTGGTGACTAAAAGGGCAATAGTTAGAGGGGTCAGAAGGTTCTCCAGAGTTCTTAAAAACAGGAACTGCAGAGGAGGACTTCCAACAAGCTGGAAAGCAGAAAGCAACGAGGCAATAGTTGTAGAATTTGGTGAGAAGTGGAGCCAGCTCAGAAGCACATTTCTTTAGAACGATGGCTGGAATCCTGTCACCTCAAACTGCTTTATGAGAGTTTAATTTAGAAATGATGTTTGAGACCAGTGATGGGGTTATGCACATATCACTCAGTAGAATATCTGTCCTATTGGGGAAATCAGATGTGGGTACTCCAAATGTGTCATGTGTTGAGTTGGAAGAGAATTTCTGAGCAAAGCGTTCAACCTTATCTGCTGTAGATGTCAGGACTTTGAATTGATTGAATAGAAGAGGGATTGAGGATTTGTTGCTGTTCAGCACACACTTGCAGAGCTGCCAATAATTTCTGGAAGTGAACTTGCAAGATGCTATATGTTGTTCCATTCTGTCAGCAAACAGTTGCTTTGCTTTTTTGAGGACACACTTGTATTCGTTATGAGCTGAAACAAAGTGATGTCTGATGCAATCAGACATGTTGCTCTTGTACAGCCAGAAGAAGTGATTCCTGTGGGCTATAATGGCCAATCATGGAGGTGAGAACCAAGGAAATAAATGCAGTTTAATTTTCTGGAATGAAATCATCAATGCCACCTTTCACCCAAGAGGAAACCTCAGATATGCATTTTTGAACAGGATGATTAAAAACTTAATTCCAAGGGACGTTATGAAGGATTCCTTATCACCTCATTTATAACAGAAATATATTCTGCTGGTAGGAGATTCTTGGTTGGTGTGATAGTGGAAGGAGATGTTGACAGACACCACCACATGATCAGAGTTGCCAAGAAGGCATAGCTGTGTAGTATGACAAGTCAGGGATAGAGGTAATAAAGAGATCTAGAAAAGAAGCATGTCAGTCAGGGTTACTGGAAAAATGTGTGAGGAAGTCAACCACTTGCATGAGATATTGAATGACTGAGATGTTAAGAGTTTGGATGCCAGTGAGGTAAGTGACATAGTGTTTAAGCCACCTGTCATAGTGAGCATTAAAGTCACTGAAAACAAATATATTTTCAAATGGGTGTAGGAAGATAGCCTTGTCTATATTATCAGAAATATTATCTAGCATGCAACAGAGGAAGAGAAAGAAGAGATAGCTGACTGAGTTAAGTAGAGAGACTGAGACACATGTATGAATGGTATAGAGATTCAAGAGAGAATTCCCTAGCCAGTGGGAGATGTTCACTGAGATAAACTCCCAGGAGATGCATGTCAACTTCCTAAGGAGAGGAAGATAGCCAGGAATCAAGAAATTTCAAAGAGGAATGATTCCACACTGCAGAAGTTGGTATGAATACCACAAGTTTTGGAGAAGGAAAGGTTGAGCAGTTTAGGTGATTTTGTTGAACTGGTTTGGTTTTATATCTTTGGTTGTTTATAGTCATAGTGTGTTATTTTGGTAAGGAAAGGCATGGGTTGTAGTAGTAGTAGCCGTTGGTCATCTAATGAAACATGTGCAGGAAGGGAACTGTTACAGACTGCAACATAGTGTGGAACACCCTTCCATGCACAACATGGCACTGCAAGAACCCTGATGTTATGCGACTGTTGATCAGAGCAGACTCTCAAGACACTATACAAAAGTTTGGGCTACTAACTACCAATCAGGAACAGCAACCAAAAAACTGCCAACCTGGTACCCTCAGTATGAAAAGACATTTCCACCATCCACACATATCACAAATGTTCATGACAGCACCACTATTAAAGACTGAGAAAAGGAAAGAAACTGAGAAACCCTTCCTAAACAGGAAACAAGGGATGAGCCTCTATTCCTGTTCAAGAGAAGCGGGGGAGTATAGATCAGATGAATATCTATCTACTCCTATTAAAAAAAAAGTTACAAAATTTTAGCTTAGTTAAAGTCAAGATGTCCATTAGAAATTTAACAAAGAATTAAAACTGGCAGAGACTGACCTTTGCAAAAAAAAAAAAAGTCCTGGATTTGACCTCCACTTAAGTTATTTCAAAGAATGAACATTCAGATAATTTATTTGAAGAGTCGATCTGCAGTCCACAGAACTTTTTGATAATGTGATGTTTAACTGACTTTCAAGTATATTAGTGGGGAGAGGTGGCAATAGGTAGCAGGGGTCTATCTCTAGAACCTTACAGGAGATGCTTCAATTGTTTTTATCCAATATTTAAACTTGACACTTTATGGAAAGTATAGGCTGACTTGATTTCAGTGCTGCTTTAGTACAATTACACAGACTTTGAAGTTAATTTTTCTGATTTCCATGAAATCTTAGCTGCTAATACTCAATTCCTTTAAACTAAAAGTCCCAAATATCTTCTCCTGACTGTCCAGTGAATGTTGGTTTATGGTATACGGATGTCTTGAACCCATGCTCTGTTTGAGATATTAGAACATCCAGCAATGGGAGTGTGTTGTTGCTCTCTTTCTCCATTGTGAACTGTATTGAAGGTCTTATTGAGTTCACATGGTCCAGTAGAACCTGCACATCTTCCTGGTGTGGCCAGAGTATGAAGGTGTCATCTATGTACCTTAACCATATAGTTGGCTTTAGAGATATAGATTCTAATGCCATCTCCTCAAAGTATTCCATGTATATATTCACCATTGCTGGTGATAATGGTGAGCCCATTGCTAAGCCCTCATCCTGGCAATATATGTGTGATCCCATTCCAAAGTGTGTTGTTTGTGTACAGAAAGTCAACATCTCCATCAGATTATCTATTGGAATACTGGTCCGTTCTTCTAGGGATGAGTCAGAGGCCAATCTGTCTCTGACTACTGAGAGTGCCTCCTCCATGGGTACCTTGGTGAACAAACTCACCATGTCCAAGCTCACCCTCTGGTTGGATAGGATGGGAGCATCTTTGATGGAAGCTAGACTATGAATGTTGATGAAGAACTCAAATGAACTTTATTTACCTTGAACTATAAAAATAACTTAGAGATTTTTTTTTATTTAATTTTAATTTCAGTCAATGTAAAAATAAATTTTACTAATTAATTTTTTTCATAACTAAATTTGAAAATGAACATTATTTTTTCTTTTTTGTTGTTTTATATTTAACTTCCTAAATCTAGAAACTAAAAACATTTGAACTGTCTGCATTTAAACTGACCAAATTTTTACTTCAATTTTTTTTAATTCTACTCTATATTATTTCTCAAGTTTTTCTTGTTTTTTATCAATTACAAAAAAATAATCTACTTAGAAATCTGACAGTGCCTGTATAACTGCAATATTCCTTCATCCTTAAGATGGAATATCTCTATGGGACTGTCTATGGTGCACAAGGTTGTGCAAGGCTTGGACTGGTAGTAAGTCTTTTACTCTCCATTTGCAAATATTTCCTAAGATATGCATAGAAGAACAGTAAATTACACTTTCACTTATTCCTTGTTTCATTTCTTTCTGTCCCTCTGACTACTGGCCTGTTTTTCTTTTCTTTTTTTTTTTTTTCACGCATTCCACTTTTCCCTTTCTTTCTCTCTTTCTTCTGTATATTTCAATTCCTCTCTTTTTTGCATATTTTTTGTTTTTAATATTTCACATCTCTTGCTTTTTGTATAGACCACTCTCTCTCTTTCTCTCTCTCTCTTGCTCTTATGTATAGTACATCTCTCTTTCACTCTTTTTGCCCATTTAATCTCTCTCTTATTTCATCTCTCTATTTGTACAATCCACCTCTCTTTTTCTGTCTCTGTACTTTTCACATCTCTCTCACTCAGTTTTGGCACATTCTACATCTCTCTATCTCTCTCATACTATACATTTTGTTTTTTTCTATTTCTTTGTACATTCCTCTTTTCTCTCTCTTTCTACATTCCACTTCCATTTCTCTCTCTTTTTATATTCCACTTCTCTCTCTCTCTCTCTCTTTGTACATTCCACTTCTTTCTCTCTCTTTTTATACTTTCCACTTCTCTCTCTCTCTTTATAAATTCCATTTCTCTCTATATTTGTGCATTCCATTTCTCTTTCTCTCTATGCATTCCACTTTTTTCGCTTTGTGCATTCCATCTCTCTCTTCCTCCATTTTACATATTCTATGTCTCTCTCTCTCTCTCTCATATTTTGCATCTCTTCTTTTCTCTTTCACACTCTCAATTTATTTTTTTCCTTTCTTTCCCTCATCAAGTATCTCTCCTTTCTAACCACCCTGAGAACTTTTACTGCAAAAATGATATATCAGTGTAAAAAAACATTTTCATTCATCTAAACACCACTGCAACTACCACACTATATTTTCAACTGTTGATAGAAAGAAAAAGGCAAACATTAATTTATCTAAATTTGATATAAATATAACATCTGTCATCTTACATTTTGAGAATCATGCACAAAAACTGTCTGAATGTGAAAGTGTTTTAACTAGTACTTCAGAATTTAATGAATAATGGCAAATAAATCTACCAAATCAATTTCAATGTTTAAATAAATATATGAATTCTGGTGTTTGTTATTAATTTATACTGACAAAATTAGTTCCCTCATAAATAAGGAAAATTGAAAATTTGTTTTCATTATAACCTTGATATGACTACAAATACAGTTTAAAAAATCTCATATAAACTAAATACAGATGTTTGCCTATTAATTGACATTTTTAAAAAGTTACTTTTCAGGTATTTTAAATGTAAGATGACCAACTCACTTCTTGATGAATAGGAAGCCTTCATATCAACAGTTAATTTTGTAGTGTTCTGTTTTGTGTTATTTTAATTAGCTATTAAACTTTAATCTTTTAACAGCTTACTTTTTATTGAAAAATACACAAAATCTTTGTTTCTTCATATTTTCTTGCCATGAGGATTAGAATGAAACTCAGTGAAATGTTAATAAATTGTTCCTAAATATTTAATGCAAAGTTGAGAACAAAATTTTAAATTTACATTTGAAGAATTTTTTGAATAAAATCTTTTAATATAGATAAATCATAGACTGCTTCCTTCATGTACCATATTCCTCATGGCTCTTCATAGCTCTTTGTCTTTTCTGTTGTTAAGTAATATTTGCCATCTTCCAATCTATACCTGTTCCCACTCTGCTATACATTTATACAAACTAGTTTCTTATATCGGAAACAACAGAGATATGATTCTACAGAAGAATACTGAGAATACTACGGTGCTTGTCAGCAATGAGGAAGTTTTAAGGAAAATAAACGGAGAACCCAGTCATGGCTGTCAGACAACTTCTGTGACCACATCACCCCTTACATCTTGCCACCTAACTCCCCAGACTGCAACCCCCTTGATTATTATGTGTGGAGTGCAGTTGAGCAAGAGAGTAACAAAACTCTTTGTAACACTAAAGATGAACTGAAGGCAAGGATTATGGCAGCATTCATCAACTTACACAAGGAGACTGCTCAGAAGAGTTGCAGGAGATTCCAAAGTCGTCTGGAGGCCATGGTTGAAGCAATTTTATTGAATAAATTTATTCTTTAGTATTTCCAGATATTTTTGTGTAATTTTGGTAAATATATCTGTTAAAATGAGATGTCAGTGTTATTTTCATTTTAGTGTAATTTAGGTGTCAATTTATACATCACACCCTGTAGAAACAAAAAGGACACTTATACTTTGCATCAGAAAGAGAAAGTTGAAATTTCTAGAGCACATAATGAAAAAATAGGTTTTAGAAAATTTGATGCTCACATGCAAGAGGGACAGAGGAAAGCAGTCTATAACCTATCTAATAAACTTGTGTAAATGGTTGACAGAACAGATATTAGGAGAGATAGAAAAAAAAAACAAAGGACAGGAAGTTATGGAGAACCATGATTGCCCAGATCCTAAAGAGACACAGCATATACAAGAAGATTACTTGGGGTTACCGGGAACATTTTTGTTGCCATTTCTCCCTGTTATCAATCCACTGGTAAAAGTTGATTTCACAATAGATGTGATTCTATTTTAAGAATTTTCTAACCATTTATTATTCTAGAATAGAATTATGTTTCTTTTGATAATAAATGTGAATGTTATGATATTTTCATTATTTACAGACATTAGTAATTTGCAAGTAAAGCACCACAACTAAATATCCATTTGTAAAGTTGATGGTACAACTGTTACCTGTTTTATTGATTAGTAAAAAATAGATACTTTGCAAAAAGCATTTAACTTTCTTGTCAATTCCTTATTTGTTAAATCTGTAGTATGCAAGTCACACAGATTATATTTTCTGAGGTCACAACTAGAATAATATAGAAGGTTTTATTTTCTTGCTTTAATAATATTTTTTATTTGTACATTACAACATGTTTTCTTCCAAAAAATTAATTATTAGTACATAAAACAAATTGAAGAATTATAAGCAAATTACAGGCAGCCTACCTCCTTAAAAAACAAACACACAACAAAATATATTAACAAAAAAAATGCTTAGAAGCAAGAAAAAGTGTTTTATATTTTTTAAAATACAGTCTGGTACAAACCTCAGCAGCCCTATTCCATGCAAAAATAATTTTTCCCTTACCAGGCAAATATGTCATGTAATATCATGTATTTGTTACGTAGTTTCATTCAGGTGTTTATTTTCATTTAAAAATTTCTCTTATTCAGATAAAGCATCTTCTTTTATGTGTCGTGTTCCTTCAGGACGTGGACATTCATGGCTCTCCACAACTTCTTATCTCTTGTAACACTACTCTGTGAAATTTGACCAAAATCAAAGCAATTTTTTCCTTTTATTTATTTATTTTTACTCTTTTATTTTTTTTTTTTTTTTTTTGCAAGGGAAGAAAATTTGCAGGGAAGAATCCAATAAGCCACTAATTACTAATAATGGGAAATGAATCACATTACAAGCATAATCTCACAGAACAGCAAGAAGTTCCATTTCTGGGGTGGCATTCCAATGTATCAACTCTTATAGGAAGATGACAAAATCTCTTCATTTCTTTATGACTAACCCACCATTTTAAGACTACCCAACAGTAGTTTTTTGTCTTGTGTCTGACACATATAAAGCATATAGTAGATTTTACAAATAACAATACTACCTACAAACTCAATAATGACTACAATTGTAAAGAAGTTATCTAAATTTAATATAAAATTTGTAACAAAACCAATAAGAGACTTAATTAATATAAAAGAAATTTACAAAATAGACTGTAAAAAATATCGCAAGAAATGCATAGTTGAACCATCAAGGAATTTAAATAAAAGAATAAATGAACACAAAAAAGATCTTTTGCAAAACAATACACTCAATACATTACTCATTCATTATAATAATTCAAAATTAAGCATCTCAGCATCTTGTGTTTCTCTTGATGCATTATTATAACCAACATTTATTATTTTGTTCCCTTGCCCTACATAAATATTCTTCCATTCCTGAATAAAGGTTATCTATTATTCTCTTTGTGTGCCAAGGGACTTTTCCTAAAGCCTGCTATGTAGTGTTGTATAAAGCAATATAAAAGGAAAGGATATAAACCCTCTTTCTCTTCACCCACAGTATATGGTATGAGGCAACACATGTCTTATTTCCCCTCTGGAGAACTTCTTAGTCCCCAGTGAATTATGTGTTCTTTAATACTTCTTTTATATGCTGTGTTCCTTCAGGATGTGAGTAATCATGGCTTTCCACAACTTCCTGTTTTTTACAGCTCTTAGTAATATTTGCTTTCTTACTATACTTCTGACTCCTTCATCTGACATCCATTTACACATGCTTATTAAGTAGGTTACTTGCTGTTTCCCTCTGTCTTTCTTTCATTCGGTATGTCCTGTGAGTGTCAAATTCACCAAACCCTCTTATGTGTCATAGAAATTTCAAATGTTTCTTTCTAATTCTATGTGTCTTTTTTTTCTATTTTCCTTAAAATCTCCTTGTTGCTAACATGCTCCACCCATGGTATTCTTAGTGTACATCACTAAATAATATCCCTCTTCAACAACTGGCAATCCCACTACAAACCAATAATGTAATGCTATTACACCTAGTTTGAAAAGAGTGAAAATTGCTTGAGGAATTTAAAAGACAGAAATCAAAATAAGATTTTCTGTAGAGAAAACATGACTGAGATTATCAGAGTGTTAATATCTTGAATTTCACACTCAAAAACCATCAAATAAAATACATCCACATGTTCACAATTGGATTTTAGAAATATAAGATCACTTGTTTCAAAGTGTATTGATTACTATAATTACTGATTCTGAATAGTAAATTTAATTTTATTGAAGTAATATGTAAGATAACATTACACCAATAATTCTGTTCTATATCTACAATGTTTTTAAATAAATTTAGATTTAATATTATCTTTTTATTAATTTAAATTTGGAGGATTTAAACTCATAAACTATTTTGATTACTCTCTTCACACAGTAACTCAAAATGAAAGATCATTGATACTCAATGTGAATGACATTGATTCCAAGTAGTGTCTTCTCTTATGATCTGTACTTGATTGAAAGGATACATTTAATGGAACAATTAGTGCAGCTCTGAGTGCAATTATTTCAAATTTCTTTTATTCTCTTTATTTTCAACATATGCAGATGATTTGCATTATATTACTGTAAATGCTAATACACTTTGCTTCAATATATTTTCCTTTGAATATTTTTCCAGTCCTATCAGATTATTTCTGAGAATAAATATATTTAAAACCATCTCCTGTTGAAGTGTGAGTCAAGTATACTTCAACCTATATTTTACAAAAATATATTTTTACATAAATAATGCAGATTATGTTATTCCTATTCTTAGACTGCATTGTAATTCTTATTTAGAATAAATTTTAGCTTATACACTTCATTTAGTTTTTTTACAAAGGCTTATATGTATATTTCCAAGAAAATTGTATCTTTTAAAGAACATATACATATATAGAGATAAAAAAAATTTTGCTTATCTAGTGGAAGCCACATGGTCTGTCAGAGTGCTGTCCCCAGACATCTGCATCATTTGGCTGTCAAAGAGAAGAGAGATAAAATTGATTTCCGTTTCAATTTGCAGCAAAAATTCCTGTTCCAGTGCATGAGGAGATTTTTCATATTTATTTAACTATTTTTTTATAATCTCATTTTTTCTTTGTTTATTGTTAATCATCATTCTTATCTATATTTTAAAGTAATTTTATTACTTAACTATTAATTTTTCTTTTATTATTAATTATGTGGGTTTCATA